GTTAGCAGAAGACACAGGCCAGCCAAGGAACAAGGTGCTGCACCAAGACTGGGTGCATTTGCAAAGAGGAAGGGGAAAGACTGGGGTGACACGGGTGAGCACCCATCAGGCAGCTTTGCCTGAGCCTCCTTCACGTCTGCATTGCCAACGCCAGCCAGGAAGCCTCGGCTTCCCCGGTGTTTTTAAAAGGATGGCACTTTCCATCTGCTGACACAAAGCAGAAAAGGGACCTTCAAGCCGGGAGAGCCCCCTCTTGCCAGAGGAACGAATGTGCTCCTAACCACATCTCCATGGGAAATGGATTCATCATGCCAGTGAGAAGAAACACACAGAAGCAGCGGATGGCAAAGGGACAAGGGGATGAAAGCCACTGCGGGTGCTTTTGGCTCCCGGAGCGGGAGCACTGTAACACCAGAAGGGCAAGAGATGCTGGCACAGGGATTGCAGCCTGCTGTTTACTCCTCACCAGCCCTACCAATACTCTCCCTCCACAGCAAAAACACCTCCCTTATAGTAAATAAATACATAAATAAGCCCTTTGAGGAGCACGTTGGCCGTGACGTGAGGCGCCGAAGAGCACGCTGTGTGCTTGCTCACACATCCGCGCTCTCTCCAGACACGCGGAGCTCTCCTTTCTTCACTGCAAAGCTCTGGCACATTTTCAGCTTCCCGGGAGGATTTAGCAACTCGGTGCTCCTCGCTCCCTCCCTGCCGTACCCCGCGTCCCAACAGGCACCTCGAAGAGAGCCCCACGTGCGCCTGGCAGGACGGTGCTGCTGCAGGACGTGCACGGGACGCCGCGGTCACTGCCGGGACGTGTCCAGCACTCACAGCCCCGCTCCGCGTGTCCGCCCTGGCATCCCACGGGATACGCACGGATTGGCACCGCTGGCACTTGTCGCTGCCCAGAGCCATCAGCCCTTTGCAGGCTTCTGCAATCAGTTATTCTGGCGTAAAAGCTTCCACATTAACCATATATTGGGACTAAGGAAACCAGAGCTGAGGCAGAAACAGAATCAAGTAACCAGCAGAGAATAACCTTCCTTCCCATACTGGCCATAAGCAGGCTGAGAAAGACTTCAGTGGGAGGAAAAGGTCCCATCCGAGCCTGAATCTGAGCCTTCCCAGGCTCTTTGCTCAGCCTAAAAAGAAGTTGAGTCAAGCTCCCAGGTGGGGCTCTGCATCCTCTGCTTCCACAGCACTGACTCCCCCAGCCATTTCCAAAGCTTCCTGGTACTGCAGCAAGTGTCAGAATTTATTCCAAGACCTGGGCTTCCCAGAAAGCAAAAGCGCTCCAAGAACGCCTCCCAAGAAGCGAGGGAGCCCATGGCTCCCAACACTATGCCTGTTTTGGAGGGCACAGCAAAGACAGCTCCTCATGGGGAAACTACAGCTGCCAGAAGGAAAAAAATAGCAAAGCAAGACCCACAGGGAGGTCAGTATTTTGTCACAACACAAAAGCTGCCTTTGTGGCACTGATCTTGACTCAGACATTAAAAACAATAACACCTTCTGCTTGGCCGAAGTGGCCAGGAACACTCCGTGTTCCTCACCCCGGGCTCAGCAGCATCCCACCTAGGCTATAGGCACCTTCACACCCGCTGCAGCGGGCGAGCAAGGTAAAGCCAGCAGCACACACTGCAGTCCAGGCTGGTTGCAATAGACATTTTTGGTATTTCAGCACTGGACTTTCCTCAAGCGAAGTCACTGCAGTGTGTTTTATTAGATATATTTGAACTGAGGCAATTTTCGGCTAGGCTAAAATCCTAACTACCCTAAAATCATTTTATCCAGCTATGGTTTTAATTTAAGTACTCTATTTTTAAATGTCTAGCAAAAATAAAATTATCTTTTCATTAGCAAACAATTCAATCGGCAGGAGGATTCCTTTATACAACTTTTTCAGCCAGGGAGCTGGGCAGGTTTGTCAGGGGTGACTGGGCTCATATCAAACTATTTTGTGTGTTTTTATCTGAGACATCTCAATGATTGCTGGACTTCAGGGGCTCATTGCTGACCACCTCATCGGATTCGAGCTTCCTTCAGAACTCAGCAGGTCACCAGTTTTACCCATGTCAGAATTTCTAAGAGGAAAGAAATGAGTGGCACATTGAGCCCAAGGTTTCCTAGCACTGTTTCTGAGCACTGTGTCAACTGCCTGGTGCAGAGAGCCAAACATACCCTGCCCCATCCACGTTTTCCTGCTCTGGATAGTGCAATTGTTCTGCAACAAGACAGCTACTCGCCTGGCAGCCTACAGCAGCAACATCTCAAGTGTTAATATAAGCAGCCAAACAAAGAGAGCAATTATTTAGACAGTCAAGCCCTGGTCCACAACACGTGCCCCTGAAATGCAAACAATTATTAATAACAGTAAAAATGCACACCGCAATTGAAATGCGGACAGCAGATTTCTCCGTGCTGGCAGCCTGCTCCTGCTCCAAATTTGGTGCAAGTTTGGCTGCTGGTGCAGGCCAGGCACGCATGTCCCCGCTCTGGAGCCAGTTAATGCCACTGCACATCCCTTGCCTCTGTGCTCTCAGTAACACTAACCTACCTCGCCCCTGGATATTGCAAAAAATTGCAAGGGCCTGGCAAGATTAAGAAAAAAAAAATCAACTGCTACTACCAAGAGGTTAATTTTCACATCCCCATGAGTGCTACACAGCAATAAAGGACCTGCACTAATCTAAAGTGCATCTCTAACCAGTGTGTGGTTCCGTATGTGCTATACAACATAAATCCCCATGTAGAACGGAGCAAAGACCACCCGATTCTGCAGGTTGCTGGGGCTGTGCTGGGTTTTCCCCAGCACAACAGCCTGTTAATGTTTATCAGAAGAGCAAATGTTTTTGTCAATATGGGACCTTCTCCCTCCAGCAATCACATACCACACCATGTCATCACACCCCTCCTTTGATTAAGCAGCACAGACAGTAATTTAAGAGTGAACTCAAAGGAATTCAGGTGCACTCCGAAGCTGCTGACATCCCTATGGAGGCAGCAGGCGAGGGCACAGACCGGGGCCAGCATCCCCACACTCAGGCTGGAGCTGATAGCAAGAGATAGGAGCAAAGAGCTTTCTCAGGCACATTCCCTGTCTCTGCCTGCAGTCCTGATCTGGAAAGCCTGCAAGAGTCGCTGAGCCAGCACCCATCAGAGGGCTAGAAAAGGACTGGGCTTTTACAGCTATTGCTCGGTCTCTTCCAAGACACTCTTGCAACTCTTGCACTCTTTCCAAGCAGAAAGAGTGGGGAGGGAAAAAAAAAAAAAAAAAAGGAAGGAATGGAGACTCCCGGTGTTCCTATCTTTTTCCCATGAAAACCTGGTGAGACCTCGTAATTCAGAGTGTCAAAAGCTCAAAGAAGTTTGTCCTTGTCCTGCCCCTTGCAGCAGCTGTGGCAGAGACCAGCAGGTCGCACTATTCATCCCGTCTTTACAGGAGTGATTCCAGGGGCTGCTTCTTTCAGGCACCAGTGGCAGGTCCTCCCAAAGCAGGCGAGACCAGCAGCCACACAGGGGTTGCAGGAGACAGACCAGCTCTGCCCCTGCTCCCAGATTCCCATCTCCCCGGGATGCTGCAAGCCACTTCCTCGGAGCATCACCCCAAGCCCCCTCTGCTACCTGTAGAGGTGGCAGCTCCCCCCAGCCCATTTATCACCCACTTCCCCAGCTTCTGAAAAGACGTGGCACCTCCACATCCTCCCAGCCCTCGGCTTCCCCCTTTCACACAGCGGCTGAGGAGGGATGGCAACGGGCACGCTCTATTTTCCGAGCCCGGCTCGCCGCTTTCCTCCAAGTAGGGACTTTCTGGGAATAACCGGGCAGCGGCAGAGCCGCCCGCTCCCACCTGCCCGCCCGTGTCTGCCCCTCCACGTCCCCTCTGACAGCCCGGAGCGCGCAGCCAAGCTCTGCAACCCGAGAACAAAATGCAAAGCCTGCCGCGAGGGGGGAAAAAACCCTTCACAAACAAACAAACTGACCCAAAGGCATCCGGGGCTGCAGCTGGGCCCCCAAAGCGCCAGTCCTCTTCGAAAGAAAATTATAAAGTCGCCTCCTCTCCCGCCTCTGCGGCTTCACTGTCACTTGGGAGCTGAAGTCAAAGAAACTCAAAGAGTTTTAAAGCCTGGAGGAGGCTTTGGCCAGAGTCTGAGCAAAAAGATGGTCCGTGATTTTAGCAGCATTTCTCCCAGCTTTCCAGTACCACATTGCTGATTCCCACAGCCAGAGTCTCATATTCTGGGCAAACAGTCCATTTATTTCTGTTATTTCAGAGGAAAATCCTATAGCACTTGGCAAAAAGGGTTTGTTATGTCTGGGTGGTATTTAAATGCCCCCACTGCGGGGGATCGCTGCAGATCTCACATGGTCCCTCCGAGCCACGCGCGGACCCTGCAGCCCTGGTCCTAGCATCCCTTCGGGGGCTTTTCCATAGGGCAGCATCTCCGCGCTTCCCAGGGCTGGAAAGCTCCGCGACTACTGCCCGAGGCTGCATTACTGGCCACAGAGGGGTCCTAGGGGCCAGCACCTGCCAGGGGAGCTTGGTTGTGACCAGGGAAGACTTTAAAGGCAGCATCCTCACCCTCACAAAGTGCCAGAGGGCACCACCGCAGCAGCCCGTATTCCCGCTAAGTCCATGAGGTAGTTCAACAGCCAGCCCGCTCGGGAAGCTCCTCCCGGGATGAGCTTCACGCACAGCCTGAAAACACCCCCCATTCCACACAGGAAGGGTTTGCCTCTAAATAGTGAGGTGCTGCGGTGTTTGTCACTCCACAAAGCACCAGCCTATCCGACCCTTCCCGGAGCAACATTCCACCTGTTTGCACGGGGCTCGCTGGGGTTTAGGTTTCTTGCAGCCACCAGATTTTAGATGCATTTTAGAAGTAGATTATTTCTCTTGGGGGGGTTGTTTTTCCTTATATAGAAAGGCTCGTTCTCACAACGAACATGTGCCGCATCAGAGCCCACCACGTCTCAAAGCTACCCACTAGGCACAGTACCTTTGCAGTGCAAAAAGCCCTCAGGGTTTGGGAAGGAGCCTTCTTCGCAGAGGAGCTCACAGGTTTTATCCGTTGCCAGGGGGTAGCTGTTGTCCTCCTCGTTGTAGTCGCTCCTGCCGTTGCTGTTGGAGTACCCGTTGGCGTACATCTTCAGCGCAGACCTGCGGAGGCACAGCAGCTCCTGGAAGGCGTACCTGAAGTCCGGGCTCCGGCAGTAGATCAAAGGGTTGAAGGCAGAATTAACGTAACCCAGCCAGTTCAAGAGGATGTACACGTACTTGGGTATGATGTCGTCCTGGATGACGTGCACTATATTCACAATGAAGAAGGGCAGCCAACACAACGTGAAGGTGCCCATGATGATGCCCAGGGTCTTGAGAGCCTTGTGCTCCTTCAAGCAGAACTTGGAGGAACGGCGGTGCCCAGTTCGCCCGTTCTGCTCCTGCTCCTTGTTCTGAATGTGAAACCTCCCCTCACTCTTGTCTATCTTCTGCAGCTGCTTCTTAGCCACCTGGAAGACCCTGGCATATACAAAGACCATGATCACAAGTGGCACGTAGAAGGAGATAATAGAGGAAGCAATGGCGTAGGCTTGATTGGTGAAGAAGTCGCAGCATGTTTCTTCCTGGTAGCACAGGATGGCTTCAACACGCTCTGCCCGGTACCAGTGCATCTGGATGGGCAAGAAGGAGGTGAGAGCAGAAACCACCCACACCACCAAGATGACCACGCGCGCCTTGCTCTTGGTGAGCAGGCTCTGGTACTTGAAGGGGGAAGTGATAGCAAAGTAGCGGTCCACAGCAATGACACAGAGGGTCTCAATGCTGGCCGTGACACACAGCACATCCAGGGAGGTCCAGAACTCGCACCAGAAGTTCCCAAAATTCCACATCTCCATGATGATGTGGCTGGCGCCAAAGGGCACCACAGCCAGCCCCATGACCAGGTCTGCGCAGGCCAGCGAGGTGATGAAGTAGTTGGTGACAGTCTGCAGGCGCTGGAAGCGGGCGATGGCGGTGATCACCAGCACGTTGCCGAAGACGATGACGAGCACGATGAGGGACATGAGGATGCCCATGCCCACCACCCACAGGTCCCGCGACAGCGTGGGGTCGGCGGCGGCGCTCTCGTTGGCGCTGGCGTTGCCGCCCGCCACCCCCATGGCCCCGGGGCCCCGCGCATACGAGGCGCCGGGCTGCGCTAAGCCCCGTCCCGTCCCGTCCCGTCGCGCGGCCGTCCCAATGCCCGCAGCCCGCGCGGCGCCGCGCGCCTTATAGCGACACCCCGCGTGACATCAGCACGGCGGCAGCCAATGGCAGCGCCCGCCGCGCCGCCCCGCGCCGCCCCCCGCGCGCCGCCCGCCCCGACGGGGCCCCGCGACCCCCGGGACACCCCCCGCCCCGCCGTGTCCCCAGCACTGCCCGCCGGAGGGGTCCGCTCACCCCGCTGCGTCCCTGCCCCGTGGTGTCCCCGTGAGCAAGCGCTCTGCAGCCTGCGGGGTGTCCCCTCCCTACACACGGCCACGGTGCCCACGCACCTCGCACGCTCTGCAGGGTCTGTCCCGATGCACATGTGCCACCACCCGATGCCCGCTGCTTTGTCCCACGCGTCACCCCGTCTCAGGGGCTCCTCTGCCTCACACGTATGCCACCCTGCGTGTGCTCCCTGGCCTGCACTGTCCCCATGCCCCACGTGTGCTCTGGCCTGTGTCCCCAAATCCCCCCACCACATGCACGTGCCCCACACATTCCCTGCGCTCCAGGCATCACCCTGCTCCGCAGTGTCCTTGAGTCCCACGGTGTCCCTGAACCCACATCCCAACTTGCCACATCGCCACATGCCCCCAGTGCCCGCTCAGTCCCCATTAGGGTAAGTCCCCTGCTGCACTGGGAGCCCCTCTCCATGGCCAAGGGCTGGGATTTGAGCTTTCTTGGGAGCCACATGAGCCCAGGGCGACCCTGTCCCCCCGCTGGCTGACAGTGTCCTGGTTGGGGACTGCTGGGCACTGAGGCCCACCACGCTGCAGCCAGACATGCCAGAGACCATCCCCAGTATTTTCCCTCCAATGCAAACATATTTGCTAAATAAGGGCTACCGAATGCTGCAAACCCCGTTCTAACTGAAAGGGAGGTAACTCCACCGCTCAGTTTCATTTCTGCCTGGGCTGAAACCATCTGACCTCATCCTACCCCCTCGTAAACACGCACCCACTTCCTGCAGCGCAAGGGGCTGCTGCAGAGGACAGCGGAGACCGAAGACAGCGATTTGCCCAGTAATTACAATTTTTGCAGGTCTGAGAAAGGGAGAACACAAAGAGCTGCTTTCGCGCACATTTACCCGCATGCCTCCGGGCCATGAGCTGCTGCGTGTGGCTGCCCCCGTAGGCACCTGCATTGCCGAGGCAGATGGTCACAAGCCACCCCAGCCCCATGCACACACAGCCCCCTCACTGCCCCTTCAGCATCCAGAAATACCAACATTGCTCCTATTCAGGACAGGCTCCGCGGCCGCAGACACTCGCCTAACCTTCTGCCGCCGTTAAAGGGTTACTAATTTGGGATCTCCTCTGAAATACATCAGCCTTTGGAATTTGACAGGGCTTCAGGTTTCTGCCTCACTTTTCGTGCAGCCTCCAAGGAGATGCAGACAGGCTCAGGTCGCAGAGGGGAGCTGCTCCCGGTTGCTGTTTCTCCAGCTAGTGCCAGCGCCCCGTGGAAGAGCCAGACACCTCGCGTGGTTCGGCCCTGCAAGCCACTAGGTGTCCCATGTTGTGCACGAACCGTGCAAGCCGAGCCCAGGGCTATTTATAGATGAACAGGCTGTACACAGAGGAAGCTCTGTGGTTTAAAACAGAGGGGCAAATGAGGTGTCAACATCAGGAAATGATAGGCAGCTTCAACAGTGCAAGACTGCTCTCTAGGCAAGGATCTTAAGATATAAGTGTCTACTATTGTCTCCATATTCCTCTGCAAACTTTGGAGGTTTTAACATAAATGGACATGAAGAGGAGACTTACAGGACACCTTTTTCTACTGCAAACATGCCAGGCTTTGGAAACCAGGGGCATTTGGGTAAATAGAAGACTAGAAACCATTACTGACCTCAAGAAGCCCCAACATCCTTAGCTGAGCAAAGAGCTTCCACTGATCACTGTTAAGGTAAACAGGGCTGTGTTTTATACCCACCTGAATCAATCAGCACAACTGTAATCAGCTGACAAACGTCTGTTGTTCTCTATGGGTGTTCACCAACTTTACACCAGCTAAGGATCTGATCCCAACATAGGCAAGCTCACTTAGGACTGGCTCAATATCTGATCCCTAGCTCCTGTCCATCATTCATCTTGCAGTGGAAGTACTGCAAAAAACTGATGGAAAATGGAGGTGTAAAACAGGTGCAATATTGGGAACGCAGAGCGGAATGAGGAAGAAAAAGCAGTTCTAGTAACTATGCATTATATTCACTGCACTTTTCCACCTTCTTTTTTAAGAAGTTGATCAGGAAACTCCAGGAGGCAATAAAGATAAGCTTCTCTAATAACCTGTTGCGTGTGCTGTTTTATGTGGCTTATGCTAACATTTAGGAACATTCAAACAACCATTTTTAAAAAGATTTGGCTTCCAACATGGAAAATATTCATCCTTGCAAGAAGCACTCTTTGGAAAGGAGGAGAAACAGATCTGGGGTCTCAGTAGAAAACACCAGCTCTGGGACAGTCACAGCTGATGTCTTTGCTTTGGTACAAGTGGGTCATCAAGGCCATCTTGTACATGGACAAGTGCAGGCTCTCTGGTAACCATCTCATATCCTTCTCCAGAACCTGCTTCCAGACTCCGGAAATCTCTGTGGCCCAGGGTGCAGAAATCATCAAACCCTGCTTATATCTAAATATTTTGCCTTTGTTGCGCTATATTCAAAGAGTCCCGGGCCTCTGAAGTGGTTAAGGATGTGGTGGAGGAAATACAAAAAGGCTGGTATTTCCTTCTAGGTCCTGCAGCTCTTTATTTGCAGGAACAATCTTTGCTCACTTGCATAAGGTGTGTCGGAGTGAACGCCACTTGCACAAGGTGCCTTCTGCCTTTGGCAGTGTAGCCATGGGCCATAGCAAATGGGACTAGGCAACACAAGTTCAAAAAGGCAAGATTTGGCCCCGCATAAAAATATATTTAATTACCCTAAATTTGACTGTGTTGCTTTGGAGGTTTTCATGCCCAAAACTGTGCTTGGAGTGGTCATCCACATTCAAGGATGTTTGAGGCTTCTTATTTAAACAAATGTAATAGCAGAATTCCACAGAGAGGTGAGGAAAAGAGTTACGTTTGCATTTCCTCTATGGGTTGTCAGCAGGACTGGGACTCTGCTTACTCCAAAATGCCTGGTGCCACAGCAAGGCACATCTCATTTGCTTCGTGCAGCACATCTCTGCCACCGACCCCGCTGCTTTGTCACCACGCTAAGCTTTTCTCTTCTCATAATTGGATGTGTGCTCCCTCCTTGCTGGGTGACATTTGAAGAAGGGCCTGTGGGACCAATGAGAAAGGCAGGGTCGAGAGGAAGAGCTAATCACTTTCATTAGCCCAACTGACATAATTGGAAAAAAAACAGCTGATCTTTGGGCCCACAAGACCTTGCTTAGGAGTGGGGCCAGCTGGGACACTGGCCCCTACCCTGCTTCCCCCGATGCTTATGGCAACCTGGAAGGCAGAAGACAGCCTGATATTAAGCAGCTGGCCAGAATCAAGGGCTCCGAAGTGGCAGTGTTTGTCTAGAGAGGAATTTGTAAAATTCTCTTCTTGCAAATAACTGATAATACTGTTTGTACGGTATGTCACTGTAGCGGGGCTGTAAAGCAGCAAAAGCAGTATGGAAATAACATCAGAGCAGTCCTCTTCCTGTGGCTGCTGATTAATACCAGGCTTTTCTGTAGATGACCAGCTTGGCAAGCTGCTGGTCCATCAAAGAGCAGAGCTTAGACCATGCGGTAGCGCCTGCTCTGAGGGGCCTCATCCTGCACGTCCTGGTTGGGGAATGTTTTTATTTGAGTGTGCCTTGCTTTGGCTGTGAACACCCGCTCTGCCAGCGCTGCATGGAGATGCTCTGTGGCCACCTCTTCTGTACGCTTCACTCTGCACCTTGTGGTCTGCACAGTACCCTCACAACACACATCTTCTGAGATCTGTTGGATCTTTGAGGTAACCAGTGATTTACAGCAGCTAGAGCACAAATAAAGCAAAAGCAATGGTGGATGCAACTTTCTAAGAACTACTGGAAGAGTTTGAGCATGGTCTAAACATGGGGGATATGGACAGTTAGTCCTACTTCATACTGGATACTGTTTTCATATCCAGCATCAGATATCCTAGACATCAGTCCAGCTGTCTAGGCTGCAGGTAACAAACACATGCACCTCACTGCCCTGGGAAGATTCCTAGCTTGCTGGAGGCAAAAAGAGGCAGTTTCCATATTACATCCTCAGCAAGTAGGCAGGACAAGCCAGCTGAGGAGAGTATTTTACAAGAGCAGGTCATTTGAGAGGATGCTGTGAGTTGTAAAAGAAAGAGAGTGGAGAAAATCTGTTTTGCAGCAGAGTGCTCAAGATCCTTTGGTCTCTTTTGTGCATCTTTCAGCCTATTTGATGAGTGTGCAAGATTATGGTTATTAATCTCTATTACAGGCACAGGAGGGGGCAGTTGCTATCTCCTTTTTAGCCTGAACTAAGGAGTGAATATGAGCAAGGACCCCAGTGAAAACTTAGATACTTAATATGGAACATGACACCGGTTAGGACAGCTGAGCATCAGAGATTCCTTGTCCCGGTGCCAAATACCAAATTGTTTGGCTGTAAATCAATACTGATGGTTAATACACATTATAAAATGACAAAACGCAAGAACAAGAGAAATAGAAGAGAGTGCCAAAATAATAGAAATCAAGCCTTTTTTTTTTTTTTTTTTTTTTTGTCATTGTTGTTACTGTTTGTTTCGGAGCTCTGCATCACGCTCGTAACCACAAGGACCTGCTGACACTGACCATCTGCAGGCACAGCCCCGCACCTCCTGCCTCCTGACCCAGCTCTAGCAGCAGTCTCTGAGCCCATCCTGACATCAATTGTCTCTTGATA